CAGATATCAATAGGGTCCTATGGGCAGGAGTTCCAGTGATCCATATGTCACAATTTATTTTGACATTTTTTGGTGTTCATTTGTGTGTTTATACATCATCTAATCATCCAACCATAAGAGAGCGTGTCTTATTCCACTCGTAGAGTTGGAGCATTCGTGGAAGTTCCAGAGAATTGGGGGCATCAAATTCAGGTTTCACCTCCTGTATCATGATCCCACCAGTCCAGTTCACCACATTTGAGCCATGAATGTTTGTCGTTATTTTGTTCAGATTGTCCCACTCGAGATGAAACACATTCCCTCACCAGTAGTAGTAATAATAATAAGGAAAGTATAATTAATTAATTAATAAGCAATAAACATATACTTATATTCCCCCCTCTGAACCATAAAGCTGGACCATCTGCAAACAAAGATCTGCAAATATTTTTCTCCACCCTCTTAAATACATAATTTATCATGATTATAAAAAACAATGAGGAGTACCATTCTCTGTCATACCTTTTGATGACATGCACTCTTACCTTGATGATCTTCCAGAAATTCTTTGATCCAATTATACATTCTCCCTCCTACCCCCCTACTTTCCAGTTTCAGTAGCAACCCTTCTCTCCACACCAAGGCTAGCACAATCTCTTTATTACTCAATGCCTTTCTAATATCTGTCTCTAAAGTTTTATTCGTACAGGATTAGTATTACCTGGGGACCACGTGTGAATTTAAAATTACCCAGCCACATCTGAATTTCATGTGGCGCATTTGCACGGGATAAGCAAAGCCTGTGATTTTACTTGAATTTACTGACTTACCTCAAGGATATGTTTTTTTCATATATAGGGCATACCGGATTATAAAGCGCATAAGATACTGCAGTCAAACGTTTGACTGTGTTTGCGTTATGCATCCACTGGATGTGCTAAGGCTAAAGGGAATGTAGCGAGTGCGCGGCGCCGGAGGTGAGGCGTTTATTTAGTAAGCGTGAGCGCGCTGGGGCGGGCACGTAACTTACATTCGCAGCCTGACTCATATGAGTATTCAATGTGCGGCGGCTCGCTGACAGCAACAGCTGGCTGTTTTGAATGAGACGACCCGGTTACTGTGAACAGGGAGTGCTTTATGAACATTCTGTGACGCGCGAGCAGCACCGGGGACAGTGTGTCTGTTCGTGTATGTCACTCCGGATTATAAAGCGCATTGTCGTTTTTTGAGAAAATTAAAGACTTATAGTGCGGAAAATATGACCCCGCACCCAAAATACTATCAAAACACTCCAACTCAGCCTCTATTCTTCACGAAAGACGGATAAAAAGGCGCAGATGAAACAAAAACCTTGAAAAAATGATATACGATCCGGCCAAATCACAGAGATGTCGATTCGTACGGGACTAATTATCACAGGACCTCTGTGTTTGGCGCAATATCAGCCCTATTCGCACGGGATTAGTATTACCTGGGGACCACGTGTGAATTTGAAATTACACACCCACATCTGAATTGCGTGTGGCGCATTCGCACGGGATAAGCGAAGCCTGTGATTTTACTCGAATTTACTGACTTATCTCCCGGATATGATGTCATTAGGCTACAGCTTTGAAATGTCTAGTCGTTATTATTAGCTGTATATGATAAACAGAAGAATTGTCCTTACCGTATGCTGCTAAACATGTCATTCATCTCCATCTAACGTTCATCATTCTTTTTGTTTTCTTGTTTCTGATGGTTTTCAGCTTTCTCTTTCTGCAAATTGTATAGTTGTACTCGCGAAATGACCCCGCACCCAAAATACTATCAAAACACTCCAACTCAGCCTCTATTCTCCGCAGATGAAACAAAAACCTTGAAAAAATTATATACGATCGGGCCAAATCACAGAGATGTCGATTCGCACGGGACTAGTATTATCGCAGAACCTCGGTGTTCGGCAAAATATAGTAGGTAATTTGCGGGGGAATTTTTACTTTACAAATTACAGACATGGCCGATTCGCACTTGATAAAGATCACAGACAAACTCTGCAATTATTACATATTACTACAGGTCACCAGATAATACTAATCCCGTGCGAATAGGGCTATAGTAGGTAATTTGAGGGGAATTTTTACTATATACTATGGTAGTCAATGAGACCAGAAACTGTCTGGCTACAGATATTCTTCTATATCAGAAAATCGTCTTAATTCATTTGAAAACGGTGAAACTCAACTGTTTAACTCTGGGGGAGTTGTAAAATGAGCCTATTTCCAAAAAAAGTGGAGTATCCCTTTAACTCTGACACCGGATGTAGTATCTTGGAGTAACCATTAGGTGTCATTGTATTATAAGTGTTGTGTTTGAGCCTATTTCCAAAAAAAGTGGAGTATCCCTTTAAGGATTAATTTGATGTTTCATGATATGATGTTATATCACTTTAATGAAACTCTGTCTGTGTGATTGAACAGGTTCAAATGAAGAGAAGGAAGAAAATCAGCAGAAATCACAGATCAGCAGAAAACAAGAAGACTGAGAGAAACACGGAGGACAGAAATGACACACAAACCAGAGAATCACGAGAGGAAAGAGGAGAGAGACGTGTTAGATGTGACAGTATGAAGAAACTAACGCCAGACTGTGAGTGTTTGATCATTAACTTTATAATATTTTGACACATTTTTGAGTTTCACTGTTAGATTTCTGTTGTTTTCTCTCCTGTCATAAAGTGTCACATTCAGACAAATTCATCAGACTGACTTTCTGCAGTCATTAAACATTTACAGATTGTGTTATTGATCAAGATCACAATACATATAAAAATTCAAAGTATATGAGGATAATGTGCATATATGTGTATTTTTCTAGTGTCCTGTGATCCAGATGAGCCTGTAAAGAGTGATTCTCATCAAACCCTTCATCATGTTCTCAAGAACACACATCACTGACATCTTCATCATCCTCATCATCACTGACATCCATCAGCAGTTGAAGACCTGGGGCCGTATTCACAAAGAATTTTAAGGCTAAAAGTAACTGGCGAATTTAGGAGAAACTCCTAAAAATAAGGGGCGTGTCACTCCTAACTTTAAGACTCCTAATTTTTTTCACTAAGAGTAATTCATGAAGCATTTTAGCCCTAAAAGTAGCACCTAAGTCTGGGACGGCTTAAAAGAAGTCGAGAGGACTCCTAACTCACTAAGACCTTTTCACAAAGTATTGTAGCGCATACCAACGCCTCTCGCAGTCGTCCGAGGTCCGCGACACAGGCGGGAATGCTGCATTCATCTGCAAACAAATCCTCTTCCATGTCTCACGCTTAGTTTTGCTTGATATCCCAGCGCCGAATTTCACTTTTATTATGTTTTTTTTTTTTTTTCTAGCACCAACTGGGTCAGCAGCAGTAACTGATCCTGTGTCCAGTTGGGCTTTCTTTTCCATTTTGGCGAGTTCATAATCCACTGTCATTCAACTATTACATTACATTATGGGAGCAACATTTCCTTGCTTTAAGTAAAGTTATTCGCTGTCAAAGTGACGCCAAAATGAATGGGAGTCAATGCAGTGGTGTAGTCTACGTGATACGCAGGTATACGCCGTATACCCACTAGAAAATGTCAAGGATTTGCGTATGCCCACTAGGAAATGTCAAAGATCTCCGTATGCCCACTTTAAAAAGCGTGAGGATTCGTAACAACATCGTTTTGTGAAATACATTTCCTACGACATCAGCCCCCCTAAACGTTGGCGACAGAATTCCGTGTTCCCTAAGTAAGTTCTGTTATAAGATTCAGCGCGCGAGCAGAGAGCACGTCAAAAACAGAGTGTGTGTGTGTGTGTGTGTGTGTGTGTGTGTTCATGTTCATCTGAGCCTCATTGGTCTGTCACTGCTCGTCAATGTCAGAATATTTGAGATGACAAATCAAATCAAAGTAGGCGGGCTTTATAGTCACAGACGCTGAGCGCGAATTTCAGCAGAGCAACTCGACGCTTCAGTTTACGGGCAAGTGCGAGATAAGATGTAAGTGGCTAAACTTCATATTTTACATTTTTTAGGTCATAAATGTTAAACGAATGAAAAAATAAATAAATAAATAAATAAATAACCAGGCAAACTAATATAGTTTGTATATAATAATACACCCTCAATAATGAGCGGGTACATGTATCAGTTGTCCAAATCGTGCTTTGTCTTATCCTGAATCACTGTGGTACACCTATAATAAGCGTTTATATTCGGACTATTTTATACTGGTTCTGGTCTTACCGCTGCGGAGTCCCAGCTAACAATTTTTGGTTCCCAGAACGTTCTCAGAACGTTAGATTTTGGTTCCCAGAACGTTCTCAGAACGTTAGTTTTTGGTTCTCAGAACGTTACTTTTTGTGGTTTGTTTTTGGTTAGCTGGGAAAGTTTTCTTAACGTTCCCAGAACGTTAGATTTTGGTTCCCAGAACGTTCTCAGAACGTTGTTTTTTGGTTCTCAGAAAGTTAGTTTTTGGTTCCCAGAAGAGTGTTTTTTGGTTCCCAGAACGTTCTCAGAACGTTAGTTTTTGGTTCTCAGAAAGTTAGTTTTTGGTTCCCAGAACAGTGGTTTTTGGTTCCCAGAACGTTAGTTTTTGGTTCTCAGAACGTTATTTTTTATGGTTTGTTTTTGGTTAGCTGGGAAAGTTTTCTTAACGTTCCCAGAACGTTAGATTTTGGTTCCCAGAACGTTCTCAGAACATTAGTTTTTGGTTCCCAGAAGAGTGGTTTTTGGTTCCCAGAACGTTCTCAGAACGTTAGTTTTTGGTTCTCAGAACGTTATTTTTTATGGTTTGTTTTTGGTTAGCTGGGAAAGTTTTCTTAATGTTCTCAGAACGTTAGATTTTGGTTCCCAGAATGTTCTCAGAACATTAGTTTTTGGTTATCATAACGTTAGTTTTTGGTTCCCAGAACATTACATAGACAATAGTTTTCTTTATGTTCAACAACAATTCATCTTTTTTTTTACTTCAATAAAATACAACAGTAAATCTATATAAATAATAAACCTGTACAGTCCATGTTTTTGTCGATTCATTGTTTAATTGTTGATTAAAAACAGACAAAAAAACACAATTATATAGGCCTAGGCTGTGCATCACATTCAAAACAGGCAAAACGAAAAGGTGAAACGAAAACAATTGTAGATCCTGCACTTGAAAGCCTCATCCATCTTCATCCATCTTCACCACAGTCATCTGTAAGAATAACAAATAGTAACATTATTACAAAGAAAAGTAAAAAAATATATATATTCTTCAATCAGTCACTGCCATTTAAGTGAAATGACTGAACCTTAAAGGAACACTCCGACTTTTTGGGACTTTAGCCTATTCACCTCATCCCCCATAGTTAGATAAGTCCATACATACCTTTTTCATCTCCGTGCGTGCTATAAGTCTGTTTGACGCACCCACCGCTAGCCTAGCTTAGCACAAAGACTGGATGTGAATGGTTGCAGCTTTCATACTAATCCAAATGAGTGACAAAATAACGCAAACGTTTTCCTATTTACATGTTGTGGTTTGTATAGTCACAGACTGTGTATACCTGCATTTTTTGTGTTTTTTTATGTATTTATGTATAATATGTGTGCTAAACAAAAGTGTATATAGTTTCTCATTGATAATTGTCTTGAGATATTCACATTTATTCACATTTATAAACTTATTATTATAATCTCCTAAAGTCTTAGAATTTTTATGTTTTCAAGTTCATGATTATTTTTTATTTAATTTTGTAATACATGTTTATAAAAATACATGTTCACGGTTTTTATATGTAGATACATTTTTTTGCATACATTTAATTTATTGTAATGATTTTATATTCATACAATCAATTGTTTTAATTTTTTAAAATAATTACTATTCAGGTCAATGTGAACAATAAACAATGTCAGTTTCTCATGATATTTAATTAGTATATGATCATATATGTCCTATTTACATTTATTAAATTATTACAGGCTAATCTCTTTAGTTTTAGAATCTTTATCTTCATGGTTATCTTCATGGTTTCAAACTGCAATTTTGAAAATTTTTTATAAATATATTTAAAATATATGTGCATGGCTTTTCGTGGCATTAAAATTTTGTGCATACATTACATTTATTGTAGTAATCTTCATACGATTCTTATGTTTTGGAAAAATAAACAACATAGAAGATATTTTTTGTAGACTTATTTGTGTACAGGCATATCGGGATGTAGAGGTTAGGAGAACGTTCCGGGAACATTTAGGGAACGTTCCCGAAATGTGAATAGATCACAATGTAGACTGAGGAATAAACTGAGTCCTCAGTCTTCACTCATGTCAGTTTCGCAAATGTAAACAGACACATAGGGATCACACTTGGATGTTGGATCGTCTGAATATTACCTTTCTGCTCGTCTCCTCAGATCTCTTAACTTTTGTGTCATGCAGACCTTGATCTCAGTGCCTCCGATGCCTGGGTGCCTCTTTTTGACATAGTCTGTAAGAAAATGAGATTGATTACATTAAAATTTGAAAACAAGTTTGTCATGACGTGACATAACTGCCAGATTCAAACTGTGCTTTCCACGCTATGGCTGGCGCTGACAGATGCGCTCAGCGCATGTCATATAATAACTATTGATAAAAGATATTCAGACATGCTTACCAATTATTAGCTGCACCTTTTGTAGGTCAAGGCTCTTTTTTCACCAACAACCCCTTTTTTTCCGTTCATGTTGCCATCTCTTTGAAAGAAAAGATGGAGTTCATAAGAGTTCTGGTTAACTTTTTGTAACCCTTACATCTCTGAGCATGATCCAAACCAACTGGGTTCATTAAGTCAGTCACAAACTTGTTCTGCAAAGCAAAAAATAAGATAGAAAATTTCCGTCAGGACAGAAACTGTGATCTTTTCAACGTTATTGCATATTAGATGAGGTTTTCACGTTGGAGCTGTGAGTGTAAATTTTAGCATACAAGTATTTATTGTTCATGCTCGAGTCTTGTTACTCTTTTACCTTCATAGGTATTCCAGAGTTTAGGGGTAAAATGCGAGAAATCTCCTTTAGTGGACTTTTATGCTGGGCACTACTCACTGATCTATATAAACGACTTGATTGCTCACGACGTCATGTAAATTGAAGTCACCATATTCAATTGAATTAATAGGAAATTATTATCAATGTTAAAAACAGTTATGCTGATTAATGCATTTGTGTAAACCATTGTAACAGTTTAAACCATTTTTTCCCCTCCAAGATTCATTGTTAAATAGACCACAAACATATGAAGGGTAGTTTACACTAATGTTCAAACATTTGGGGTCAATGATAGATTTAAAAATTAATAGAACAACAAAAGAAGAAATTTTTACTCAGCAAGGATGCATTACATTAACAAATATATTCAAATAAATGCTGTTATTTAAACCTTTCTATTCATCAAATAATCCTGAAAAACACAAAAATATGAAGCAGCACAACTGTTTTCAACACTGCTAATAATCATAAATGTTTTTTTATTTATTGCCCTTCTTCGGCTCACCTGTGTCCTAACGTTACTTCTCCGGCAGCAGCTTTCTTCAGAAATGTTGAAGTAGGAGCTTTCTCTCTGTTATGGGTTATTTCGTTACTACTGAAATCACAGAACATTTAATCAAAATGTGTTTAACGTTACCATTGAGCTAACGTTAGTTTCGGCCAATTGCTCCTGAAAGTCCTGAAACATCACCGATACGTTACGTTTACGTTAAATAAATTAGCTCACTGTAAAACCCTTACAAAACCTCTCATTTACACATAAGAGGTGATTAAAAGAAACTTTAATAAATAAAAGTTCAACCGAGTTAACGTGGATGTTAGTTAGCCTTGCTAACGTTAGCTGCTACCTCTTTAGCCTTGCTAAGTTACCTCTACGGACTTTTTCCGAAGACTACACCATGTCGATAAAGTACATTTTTAACAGAATCGTGTCAATTACAAGTAGGAGAAATGTCGAAAACAGTTGTGAGTATTATTTGTGTGCTTTTAGAGAGTAAACACACCTGAAAAAAGCCGTGAAAAGTTGAAACAACAGCGAGAGAGGGAGTTTTGTTGTTTACCAGTAGCAGTGGTCCCGCGCCGTTTCCATGGCAACTCTGCGCGCCGGCCGCTCCAGTGTTTGAGAGACTCGAAAGTTCACGTGCACGGCATTAATGATTGACCACGTCAAAATCATGCAGCACGTAAATATATACATACAATAAAGATGTCCTGAAAGTGCTTTGTAAATAGAATATAAAAGCAGTAGCCTATTGATTATATCAAATAACATTATTGTCGTTGAATATTCAACTGTAAACCTGGACTTTCACAGAGAGCTTTGGTTATTATATTAAACCTATAAATAACCTGCAGGGAACGTTCTGGAAAGGTTCTCTTTAGGTTATAAAATTAAACCTAAAAATAACCTGCAGGCAACGTTCCCGGAACGTTCTCTTTAGGTTATAAAATTAAACCCAAAAATAACCTGCAGGGAACGTTCCCGGAACGTTCTCTTTAGGTTATAAAAATTAAACCTAAAAATAACCTGCAGGGAACGTTCTGGGAAGGTTCTCTTCAGGTTACAAAATTAAACCTAAAAATAACCTGCAGGGAACGTTCCCGGAACGTTCTCTTTAGGTTATAAAATTAAATCTAAAAATAACCTGCAGGGAACGTTCCCGGAACGTTCTCTTTAGGTTATTAAAAAAAAACCTACAGAGAACGTTCCTAGAACATTCTTATTTGGTTCCCAAAAAAATAACCAAATGGGAACCATATGGGAACGTTAGGGGAACGTTCTGTGTTTACTGGGGTAGTAGTATCGTGTTACAGTGCATTCTATCAGTTCTGGCGCCTCTCAACTGTACAACGCGACGTAGCCTACACATCACACGTTAAGGAATAGGTACGGGACACTGCAATTCACAAAAGTTCATTGTTTGCATAAGCCTTGCCGGTTAAACATTTAATTCACGCGCTGTTCTAACGTGCGCTTTCCTGAGCGCGCGGCATATCCCCGACGCTCACAGGCATTAGAAGCCTGTCAAACAGCGCTGGACTAAGTTATCTTTCAAGTCTTATAATGCTAATACTGTTAAATACACACAATATTTACATAAACAGAATTGGCTATGTCTAAAGTGCAGCCTCCCCATATAGAAAGTGAAAGCAAACATTTGAGAGAAAATCTGGTGTAGGCTAATATGCGTCTATATTAAACACGTCGCGTGCTGGTCTAAAAGCGAGAGTACTCGTATTTTACGCACTATAAAGCGCACTTAAAAGCCTTTAATTTTCTCAATTCGGCCTTTTCTCAAGCTTTATAATCCGGAGCGCATCAATTGCTCGCGCTCGTGTCCATCTTCTGCCCGCTTTGTCACACGGCCAGTTCAACCTCGTATAAAATATCTCCCGCTCACGAGCGCTCTCTCTAACACACACACGAACAGACACTGCTGTCAGCAGGCTGCGAATGTAAGTTACGTGCCCGCCCCAGCGCGCTCACGCTTACTAAATAAACGCCTCACCTCTGACGCCGCGCACTCGCTGCATTCCCTTTAGCACATCTAGTGGATGCATAATGCAAACCCAGTCAAACGTTTGAAAAATGTTCTAAAATAGGTCATTGAAGGTGCGCCTTATAGTGCTTATAGTATATAGTACTGCCGCTTGTATTTAAAGGGATGGTTAACAAAAAATATATCTATATATATGTCATCATTTTGTTTCCGACTAGTCGACTAAGGCCAACAGCGCCAACTAGTGGTTGTGACAGTCGACTAGTCGACTAGTTGATGAAACCCCTAATATAAAGTATGAAACAAACATGACACTTGGAGTGTGTTGAACATAAAAATGAATAAGACAATCCCTGAATAAAAACTGTATTTGGTCTTGGTTAGTTCGGTATTTTACACTTAAAGCCCTGTTTTAAGATCTTTTCTGATGAAATAGAATGGTTAAGATTGAAATTTGGACATGCTGTTGTCCCGAGAATTTTAGATTTGTGTGTTAGCACCCACACAATCATTCATAAAAATCATTAAACATTCATTTACAAAGACGTCAAACTCACCGAGTGGTCAGGGATGTTCACTGATATGCACACAAACATCGCTGCAAAATATGCTTTCCAACAGGTTTTATCCTAGTTTTTGTTCAACTCTATTGACTTGACTTGGTACAAAAACTACCATTAAACCCTGTGTTGTTGTTGTGTGGAATCTGGTGCGCGCGCGGCGGCCGGTGCTGGGCGTACCCGATAGGAAACGACAGCATTGCTTTTTAGCTCAATACAGACAGATTTCATGCAAAACAGGCCGAAATTACATGCATTGTGAACGTCAGACTTATAATCATTTTCGTTCCGTCTCGTCTCGTCTCGTCAACGAAAACTCGCAAACGTCTCGTCATGTTTAAGTCACCTCAGAGCTATTTTTAGCTAGTCATCGTTGCGTTATTGTCATAAAAAACGGTGCGTTAACAAAATCATTTCGTTGTCGTCATCACTGACGAAAACATCACTGCTCCCACAGGAATCACTGTTTTACTCCAAAAAAAGCCAAGAATAAAAACATTCTTACTTTGGCAATTGTGGCTTTATTTGAGAAATTGCTAAAGTGCAATGAACAATGTAGTATAAAACAATAAGATGCATATTAGGCCTATTTGTAAACACAAACATTATGTATACAACCCTGTTGTATACATAATGTATACAGCTCTGTTTCTCTGGCTAATTTTCTACACTGCCACAGTAGTGACGTCTACTCTGCTCCCACAGGAGCTCTGTTTCTCTGGCTCTCCACAGCCATAGCAGTGACGTCTCCTCTGCTCCCACTGAAACTCTGTTTCTCTGGCTAATTTCCTACACTGCCACAGCAGTGATGTCTCCTCTGCTCACACAGGAGCTCTGTTTCTCTGGCTAATTGTCTACACTGCCACAGCAGTGATGTCTACTCTGCTCCCACTGGAGCTCTGTTTCCCTGGCTAATTGTCTATACTGCCACAGCAGTGACGTCTACTTTGCTCCCACAGGAGCTCTGTTTCTCTGGCTCTCCACAGCCATAGCAGTGACGTCTCCTCTGCTCCCACTGAAACTCTGTTTCTCTGGCTAATTTTCTACACTGCCCAGCTGTGACGTCTCCTCGGCTCCCACAGGAGCTCTTTTTCTCTGGCTAATTTTCTACACTGCCCCAGCAGTGATGTCTACTCTGCTCCCACTGGAGCTCTGTTTCCCTGGCTAATTGTCTACACTGCCACAGCAGTGACGTCTCCTCCACTCCCACAGGAGCTCTGTTTCTCTGGCTAATTTTCTACACTGCCCAGCATTGACGTCTCCTCGGCTCCCACAGGAGCTCTTTTTCTCTGGCTAATTTTCTACACTGCCCCAGCAGTGATGTCTCTTCGACTCCCACAGGAGCTCTCTTTCTCTGGCTAATTTTCTACACTGCCCCAGTAGTGATGTCTACTCTGCTCCCACTGGAGCTCTGTTTTCTCTGGCTAATTTTCTACACAGCCACAGCAGTGACGTCTCCTCTGCTCCCACAGGATCTCTTTTTCTCTGGCTAATTTTCTACACTGCCACAGCAGTGACGTCTCCTCTGCTCCCACAGGATCTCTGTTTCTCTGGCTAATTTTCTACACTGCCACAGCAGTGACGTCTCCTCCACTCCCACAGGAGCTCTGTTTCTCTGGCTAATTTTCTACACTGCCCAGCTGTGACGTCTCCTCGGCTCCCACAGGAGCTCTTTTTCTCTGGCTAATTTTCTACACTGGCACAGCAGTGATGTCTCCTCTGCTCCCACAGGATCTCTGTTTCTCTGGCTAATTTTCTACACTGCCACAGCAGTGACGTCTCCTCGGCTCCCACAGGAGCTCTTTTTCTCTGGCTAATTTTCTACACTGCCCCAGCAGTGATGTCTACTCTGCTCCCACTGGAGCTCTGTTTCCCTGGCTAATTATCTACACTGCCACAGCAGTGACGTCTCCTCCACTCCCACAGGAGCTTTGTTTCTCTGGCTAATTTACTACACTGCCCAGCACTGACGTCTCCTCGGCTCCCACAGGATCTCTTTTTCTCTGGCTAATTTTCTACACTGCCCCAGCAGTGATGTCTCTTCGGCTCCCACAGGAGCTCTCTTTCTCTGGCTAATTTTCTACACTGCCCCAGTAGTGATGTCTACTCTGCTCCCACTGGAGCTCTGTTTTCTCTGGCTAATTTTCTACACAGCCACAGCAGTGACGTCTCCTCTGCTCCCACAGGATCTCTTTTTCTCTGGCTAATTTTCTACACTGCCACAGCAGTGACGTCTCCTCTGCTCCCACAGGATCTCTGTTTCTCTGGCTAATTTTCTACACTGCCACAGCAGTGACGTCTCCTCCACTCCCACAGGAGCTCTGTTTATCCGGCTAATTTTCTACACTGCCCAGCTGTGACGTCTCCTCGGCTCCCACAGGAGCTCTTTTTCTCTGGCTAAGTTTCTACACTTCCCCAGCAGTGATGTCTACTCTGCTCCCACAGTATCTCTGTTTCTCTGGCTAATTTTCTACACTACCACAGCAGTGATGTCTCCTCTGCTCACACAGGAGCTCTGTTTTCTCTGGCTAATTTTCTACACTGCCACAGCTGTGACGTCTTCTGTGCTCCCAGAGGAGCTCTCTTTCCCTGGCTAATTTTCTACACTGCTATAACAGTGATATTTTCTCTCCAATACATCACTATTCACAATTATTATTCCTGCTAAAACCCCTAATTGATTTTTTTCTCTGTCCAGCGAGCATTGGTCTCCAAGCGGACGTTGCATGCATCAAAGTTATCCTCCAAGCAGTATCTCCCAGGACCCTTCAATCTTACGTTACTGCTTGGAGATAACGTAAAGAAAGAAAACGATAAAAAAGTCTCTTATTATTACTGTCCTTTCCCTGATTTTTCTCTTTTCAATCAAATCTTTTATCTCCTACTTTAATATCATTAAGAGCCTACAAATCAGGTCCATTAAAGTTTATCTGAGCGGCATCCAGTTTTTCCATAAACTGATGTACGGCACTCCTTCTGTGGAGATAAACAATTCACAAACCCTGATTGTTGTGAATTCTTTACTATCTGGGATTAAGTATTATCTACTGCTGTAGTTTATATTTACAGAGTGTATTATGTAGAATA